AAGACTAGTGGTATTGTGGAGAGAGGCACTGAGGCTAGTGGCATTGTGAAGAGAGGCACTGAGGCTAGTGGTGTTGTGGAGAGAGGCACTGAGACTAGTGGTGTTGTGGAGACCGGCTTGGAGACTATGGTGAGGACTAATAGAAAGCAGTTGTTGTTGGGGGATTCCATCATAAGAGGTGTGGAGATGGACAATGGTGGTCTTGTGAGGTGTCTTCACAGAACTACTGCTCACAGAGACAGGAGACGTATCTGTAATATTGTTAAGCAAGCAAAGCAGGAAGGGGAATTGGATGTACTTGTCCATCTAGGGACAAATGACTTGGCTTGCAATGAGGTTTCAGAGGTTAAGGAAGTTTTTAGTGTTTTTGCCAATGATATACGGCAGGTTGCTTCCACACTGTCATTCTCTGAAGTTCTGTCTGTGCATAAAACTCAGAACGACAGGCGGATGCGTATTAGGGACTTTAATTTGTGGCTTGGTGAATGGTGTCGGGAGCAAGGATTTGGCTTATTTCTCGTGGTAGCTCTGTTTGGAATGGAAATAAGCTGTACAAAAAAGATGATTTGCATCTTTCTCAAAAGGGAACAAATGTTCTCAGTGAGCAGTTGAGAGGTTTTGCTAAGATGTATTTAAACTAGGAGGGAGGCAAAAGGGTGATAAAACCTCAATCCAATTGTCCCCCAAAACAAGGAAAGAAGGTGCCTGTAGCAAGTGTGTTAAAAAATGATAAGCTTAGAGTCATGTCTATAAATGCTCGCAGTTTAGGGAAAAAGATCCATGAACTTGTGGCAATAATGGCAACTGATATTGTAGATTTAGTCGCTGTTACTAAGAGATGGTATAATGAGAAAAATGACTGGGACATAGCAATACCAGGGTACTCTTTATATAGAAAAGATAGGGAAGGCAAGAAAGGGGGAGGGGTGGCCCTGTATGTGAAGGATAGCATCAAATCTAGCCTAATAAAAGTTAGTGAGGCAAACATAAAGTCCGTTTGGGTTACGTTAGAATTTGGTAATCACACAGTAACTCGTGTAGGTGTGATTTATAGGCCCCCAGGACAAATTGAAGAGTTAGATAATCTACTAGTTGAGGAAATAGCTAAAATGACAATGAAGGGGGAAGCTATCATCATGGGTGACTTTAATCTTCCTGATGTAAATTGGAAAACAAAAATTAGCTACTTGTGCCAGGAGCACACATATTCTAAACTCCCTACTGGGATTGTCTCTAAAACAAGTTGTTGAGGAGCCAACTCGTAAAGAGACCATACTAGATTTAGTGTTAACAAATGGAGATTTGGTATCAGATTTTACTGTAGGTGAAAGTTTAGGATCCAGTGATCATCAGTCAGTGTGGTTTAAAATAAGAACAGTGACTGAGTCACACCGCACAAAAACAAAAGTTTTAGACTTTAGAAAAACAGACTTTTCTAAAATTAGAATATGTGTAGAGGAGTCATTATCAGACTGGAGCAATTTAAATGGAGTCCAAGAGAAATGGGATTATTTAAAAGTTGCACTATTGAAGGCAACAGAAAATTGCATTAGGCTTGTCAGTAAAAGCAAAAAATTCAAGAAACCACTGTGGTATTCCGCAGATGTGGCCAAAATAGTTAAAAACAAAACGTTAGCATTTAGGAATTATAAAAAAAACCAGAGTGAGGAAGACAAAATTATTTATTATATTAGGCAGAAAGAGGCTA